GATGTTGGCTTGAAACCTTAGTGCTCTGGTGACTTCAAGTAAGTGTATGTGTTTCCTCTCAGCAACCCCATTTTGCTGAGGGGAATATGGACAAGATCTCTGATGAATGATTCCCATATCCTTAAACAACTTAGTACAAACTGAATTAAAGAACTCAGCATTATCAGACCTAAATACTTTGACTATTTTCCCAAATTGAGTCTTAACAAACTGTAAGAATACTTGTATAGAAACAGACACAGCAGATTTCTGAAGAAGTAAAACAACCAAGTCATTCTAGAGTAGTCATCCACTATTGTAAGGAAATAACCATCAACAGTAGGTGTATTATAAGGACCCCAAAGGTCAGCATGTACTAGTTCAAAACAACAACTACTTTTGATACTACTAGTAGGAAACACAAGTCTTGTTTGTTTAGCATAGGGACATACAAGACACTTTGAAACTGAACACAAATTCTATTTGCTCATATAAAATATTCTAGCTAGTACTGTTGATGATACCTGACATAGCCTTTTATGCCATATTTCAATGTTTGATTCCTTATACTGATGAGCAGCCAATGCAACTTCATTTTTCTGATTGTCATAAGTTGTGGATAAGTGTTTCAGCAGTAAGTACAGACCCTTTTCTTCCTTACCAACTTCTTTCACCTTTCCACTGTAAAGTTCTTGAAAAACACAAAAGTTAGGAAAGAAGGTAACTGAACAACCTAATTCCTTTGTGATTTGACTGACTGACAATAAGTTGTACTTGAAATCGGGAATTTGTAACACATTTGAGATCACACTTCTTTCTGAGAGGACACAAGAACCAGTATGAGACACCTGAGTGGCACCACCAGTTAGAAGAAATACAGGCTTTGACACTTCCAGTTTATTCACAGTATATGGACTCAACATATCAAGATTAGAAACCATATGGTTTGTTGCACCAGTATCTACTATCCACATCTTACTATTTTTAGACACAAAAAATATTTTACCTGAAGTATTTGCAGTGTTACACATAAAAGCACTTGGTTCTGACTTCTGTTGAACCATTTTCAGGATGTGATCATATTGATCCTTAGTGAATGTACAACTTTGAAGCAACTGTTGGACCTCCTTCTCAGCTGCACTTGCTGATTCTTTAGCAATAGGTGCTTCAGGTGGAACTCCATTATTTACATCATATTGATTCAGATCAGGAAAATTTCCTCATCCAGGTGGAGGAACACTTATGTTCATACCATAAGTAAGATTGGCATGTGCCTGGAAAAGTGGATTGTAATAGTTACTACCAGGAGCAATAGATGCAAGAGAAGTACCTTGAATCTTTCTCTTTGACTTGAAATCTGGTGGATAGCCTACAATCTTATAACAGAATTCTTTGTTGTGACCCTTACACTTTCAGAAGTCACATATGAGTAGTGAATTCGTCTTGAACCTTTGACTCACACCTGAACTTCCACCCACTTTAGAGTACATAACTACTGATGATTCTAGACTAGAAGAGGTCATCCCCATACTACTCACACTATTGACCACAGCCTTCTGACTTTCATCCCCAACAATCATAGCATATGCATAGTTAATGGTTGGTAAAGGATCCATCATAAGAATTTGACTTCTTGCCTGCTGGTAGGATTCATTCAAGCCCATCAAAAACTGATGTAATTTCCGTTGATTCATATAAGCAACAAACCCTTTGGACTTATCACAATTACAACAAGGAGCTGGTACTATGACCTCAAACTCATCCCACAAACTCTTAAGTTTGGTATAATACACTGATACATAAGCAGTGTCTTGTTGTACTGATGTAATGTCTTTGTGTAAACTATACATCCTAGAACCATCCACCCTATTAAACCTCTCTTTTAAATCTATCTAGACATCCAAAGTTGTAGAAACAAAGGCAATTCCACTGAGTAAACTCTTAGACACAGAGTTCATTAGCCATGATAACACAATTGCATTTACTCTTTCTCATTGCCCCCACAGTTCCTCACCAAACATATTCTTCTTAGCAGTTCCATCAATTAATCCTATCTTATTTCGCCCTAACAAAGCTAGCACGATAGATCGACTCCACAAAGTATAGTTCTCGATTCTAAGCAATTGAAATAAAATAAGGCTAAGTCCACTAACATCAGTAGGATTAAGGAACAAATGATGGTTATAATCAATACCTTGGCTCTGTAAAAAGCTAGTGGTTTGAGAAACATAAACACCTGAGTTATTTTGCTGCAGATCTGAGGTTGTTCCTTCAATCGCCATTTAAGATCTGAAAAGTTAATCCTCTGATTGACTGAAAAAACTGACGTGGAAGCAAATCGAAGCTAATATTGATGATAAACCACTGATTCCAGCTGGAATCAAGTCACAATCTGCAAGAACACCTCTAAACCCACACTTCACATAATAAAAAAAAATGAATCGATGAATCGACCTACTGATTCTTTGATCCTTTGATTGAACCAGCTTCTCCAGTAATGACTGTGAAGAGCAACTCTGATACCATAAACGTAAATGCAAGCTCACAACTGTGAGATTAATGGAAGCTAAGAGAGAACAAACAACTTGTATAGAATTTTTTTAAGTGAAGATACAAACAGTAGTAAGAGCTATATTTATAAGCTCTGGTTTACATTAACTCGTAACTAACTTTCCTAATTACCACTAGGACAAGTTGTTATAACTAACTACTTGAAAAGACTAATCTGCCCCTTTTATTCCTTCACACTTATAACTACTTTAACAACTTCTTTATATCACAATACTATAATTAAGTTCAACCTGCGAGTTTTTTAAATTGTTACTAGTTCTTAATGAGTGGTATTTTAAAAGATTATTAGGTATATTATGAAAAGTTTGTATCTTGAATTTGAGGAATTTTGATATTAATTTGAGGTGAATTTTTTTTAAAGAAAATTTAGAGATTAAAATGAAAAGTTGAAGCGGCTCAATGCAACTGTATCAATAATCAACTTGTATTAATGAGTTCAAAAACATATTTGTATTTGTGTATCCAGATATCATGACTGATGATGGCGATGAGTGAATCCAATGAAAGTATATGTGTTTATACAATTAGATTGAGTGAACAGATACAATTTCAAAATAGTAGTTATGATTATGAATCATAATTAAGAAACTATATATATATAATTATAACTTTTTGAACGAACAAATACAACTTCATATTTACATTAGTATTTTAAAATGTTTTTTTAGGGATTCACTTGGGCTCTTTTTGGGTGTTACACTTACGTTAGGGCTGTCTTGTAATGCATGTGTTCTAAGTGGTCAATTAAGTGTGCTCGAATGAACATGTCTAATATTCAATTTGGGAATTGTCCAATAATTTTTACGCAGATTTTCTAATTAGCACTAAAATAATATAAAGAAAAGAGTGATAAAATTAGTTCTATTTATGTATAGAAATATGAAAATCGAGAGTAGCTTAAATTAAATAATGATATATGATATTGCATAATCATTAATTGAGAATATCGTGAAGATGAATATCAATTAATAATTTCTTGATAAAATAGATAGCCGAAATTTATATGTTTACTTGCTATTGGTCTTCATGTATATGTATTATTCATTTGTCCTTAATATTATCAGATTTTTATTATTTTAATATTTAAAAGAATTTTTCCATATAATCATGAAAAGTAATGTTTTATATTATAGTACCAATACAACTTATAAAATATTTAACTTTTTTTTTCAACCGTCCAAATCTAATAGAGTGGATGTTATTTTATATTATAATTAAATATTACAAAACAAAAGAGATGAGCCTCTCTATGCCTACTCCGAATGAAACAAGCTTCATTAATATATGGAATGAGTAGGATTTTCTTTTGAAAACTATTAAAAACACCTCCAAATTTAGTGTAAATTATTAGTTTTATTTTTAAATTATTGATAACTTTAAAAAAATCTTTTTACATAACTAGCTGAACTTAAAGACATTCCTGGTCTTGCAAGTTGCAACATGAATGAAATATACGCCGAATATAAAAGTGTTTTCAATACTTCTCTCATTTCTATTTAGCTCTAAAGAAAACATCAAACACAAATATGCTTTGGATGGTCCGATGAAATACTGTTGCTGTATTTTGAAAAGTTGAATAGTATTCACTTATGATAAATAAAAATTTATTTCGTATATCTATTTATAAAAAAGAGTCCCTTTTTTTAATTAGAGGTTATTACCCGTTTCTTTTTACCCAAAATTGGCACTTGTATCCAGAGTTAAATCCTCTATCGGGTAAGGAGTTCATTGTTTGAACAATTAATTTATCAATATAATCAAAATACTAAAAGAAAAAGCATATATAGCCCGATATTGAATTCTCTTCTTCACAAGAAATATGAAATATATTTAAGTGAAAAGGATAGAGAAGTCAGGTGAGTCCACTATTTACCAAGTTTCAAGCCTCGCAATACTTACCTCGAAAATTTCTTAATTAAAAATATTAGACACAAAAAAAATTACTCCTTCTATTTTTAAAAATGGCGTAATTTGACTTGGAACGGAGTTTAACAAAGAAAAAAAGATTTTTTAATCTTGTGGTTCTAAATTAAAGTTATGTCAAATGTATAAAAATGTCTTTTAATTTTGTGGTCTTAAATATGTCACGTAGAAAGTTGAAGTTAAAGTGTTGCCAAGAAAGATAAGAGATTATTCTTTTTGAAATAGACTAAAAAAGAAACTAGATCATTCGTTTTTAAACAGGTGGAGTATTTTCTAAAGTATGGATACGACACACAGAAATAACTAATTCAGAAAAACTGAGTTGAATAAGAAAAGTTATACATAAAGGAATAAAAACTTATAAGATTGATGAAAAGATAAATATACTAGTATTTAATTTAATAAAAGAAGATTTTATTGTTAATTACTCGCTATAATTACATAAACTATACTATATAAATATATATAGTACTTCATATTTTGGCGCCTTTAACATTCGTGAATTTCACTTGCCTTTATCTTATAGCCACCCATGCATCAATAAAAGTCACAATATTTGAAATTAAAGCCAGAGTGCCCCCACTTCTTTGAGAAGAGGGACAAGAGATCCACTAATATGAGAGGCCATAACTCTATCCATCGATCCAATTAGTTCACCACCTATGAACACAACCGGAACGGCAGGTGAGTTTCCAAGAAGCTTGGAAAGAGCCTTCTCCATCGACTTCCCATTAGGGTCATGGTCCAACTCGTACACCGTTGGGTTCACACCGAGCTCACAAAACAACATTTTCATTGCATGGCACATGCAACAACTACTCGAGCTAAATATCACCACCGCACTTAAAGATGCTAGTTTCACCACCCTCTCCAATGAGTCCGAACATGATGACCTTCGCTTCACCCTTGTGGTTCGGTGATTCCCCCGAGATGAATTTGATTCTTGATATTGCATTTTTAACACTATAAAAATAAAAATAAGAAGTTGTCCAAGGAATATTGTGAATTTGTGGAGTGATGAGAAATGAAAAGTACAATATATATAATGTAGGGGGGGGGGGGGGGGGGGGTCTTTATTTTCTTGAATTTAATTGTATGCATGGGATATGTGGAATGTAGGTAATGTAGAAGTAATTTTTTTTTATTTTTTTTGTGTTAAATGAATCATTAAATGCTAAAGGTGTACAATAGCCCGTTGCTGGCTTTCCTACTCCGGTCTACATTAAAACCCGATTCAATCAGAATTCACATTATATAGTAATTTCATATTAAGAATAAAATGTTTTTAACAGATACAAGGACACATACGTATAGGAATATACATGTATCAATATAAATGGTTTAATAAAGTGGAAAATATAAATTAAATTAACCATATTTAAGTAACAGAAATGTATATGCAAATATCTATTATACATATATTGATTTAGTGTAACTACTTATAAAGTCTCATTTATTTGCACTTAATAAAGGTCTTACTCTTAAGAGAATTTGTAATTAAGTACCTTTTTTAACAACTTAAAAGTAACGTGTATATTCAAATTTTAACTTTTAAATCGGCTGGTCGTTAAGTTTTTACCTACGTATAGAAGCTCACATCGCAGTAGATTAAGTGGAATTATTAATTGATAGAAGCTAATAAAAAAAAAATGTGCACGGTGTTCGAAATTCATTTTGGAATCCCGACTAAATTTGAATAGAGCACTACATGACTCATTCAGAGGTAGCGCTTCCAACAGCAAAAAATTCATGCTCAGGGTTCAAATCTAAGTCTTCTACTTAAGAATGGAGCAGTCTCATCACTGCACCACAACTGATGTTGATGAGAAACTAATAAAGTTACCAATTGAAACTTGGTAGATCGCAAAATTAAAAAGAGACACTATCGACAGCAAAGTATTTGTATATCAATTACTACTCCATATTTAAGAACTTTTTCTTTGGGGTTCCACTCATTTATATTCGAGCATCTTACATAAATGTGTCACTTAGCAAAACTTTTTTTAGTTAAATGGTTGTATGTATATGTAATATATTTATATTATTTAAAAACATTATATTTATGATATATAATTATGTATTAGAGTTGTATATATATTATTATATGAGTAATATTTATACATGGTAACAATTCATCTTTCTCAATGAGCTGGCTTGTTTTTCTAATTCCAATCAATTCAAATCTCAGCCATTCAACTTTATTTATTTTAATAATTCATCTTTCTAATTCCGAGTAGTTAGCTAGTGTAATTAATTATTTCAGCCATATATGTGACAGTCTGAACACGATATTTTAAGAAACAAGAGAAAACTTTATTATGTTTATGAAATTCTTTTTATAAAAATTATTTTAGTGCTTATTTTTAATTGACTTTTCTTTACCATAAAGATAAAATAAGGATGATATTATTAAATAATTATCAAATAAAAAAATGTGACATAAATATAACGTAATTTATTTTTATTTTATTTTTAAAAAAAAAAGAAGAAGAGAAAATCACTTCTTTCGAATCGAAAGGAATAGAACATTAAACCTAAAGAACGCACGCCTATTATATAAAATAATAATACTTTATCCGTTTCAATTTATGTGATACCTTTTAAAATTTTGAAATCAAACAAGTCTATGTTTTACCCTAAATTTTTCATACATCTTTAAAATATTTTGAATTGTCAATTATAGTAACTGAGAATATATTTTTATATAATTTACAAATATATAAATTTCATTTCAAAAAGTTTGAAGATTCCACACTCATATTCTCGGTCAAACTTAAATTGTTTGACATTCGTAAAACAAAAAGTGTCACATATATTGGGACAAAAAAAATACTCCATTTGTCCCGTATTAGTTGATTTTTTCTTTCAAATAATTGTTTTATATTAATTGTCCACCTTACTAAATCAAGAAGATATTAATTATTTTTGTTCCTATATTATCGTTCTCTTTTAAAGTCTTCACATTTGTTTGTAAATAATTCTGAATATTTATTTTTTTAAGGAATGAATTAGTAAAACTATCTTCTTATTAATAATGTTTTAACATACGTATAAAAAAATAATAATCAATTAATATAAAACCAAAAGAAATATCACGTTTTCGTGAGAAGACAAATATGTTGATTTGCGCAGTTAGGCGGCGGAGAATTTAAGGATGCGGCGCGCGCCGCCGCCGAATTTAATTGAGTCTCGTAGGTAACATTGCGTAAGCATAAATGTCATCATGTTGGATCTCTACCAAATAAACAAGGCTAGTTTGGTAGAATTAGGTTTCTATAATTAAAAATATATTCATTACTAGCCAAGTTTTAGTTTCTATAATTAAATATATGTACTCATAGAAGTAGCTCTTATTTTCAAACTTTTAAATGCACAAGTAGAGGCGGAACTAGAGGTGTACATATAGATCGTATTGATCTTGATATTGTATTGAAAAATAATTATGTTAATTTATTAAATTTATAAATTAAATCAACATTAAGTCGATTTTTTTATTTCAAAATTTTAGCTGATTTTTTCATTTTTTTTCTCACAATTACACAATATTTGAAAAAAAATATGTAAAAATTAGGCAAATGACATAGTATAAGAAATAAATTACTTTCTTTCCCTACTCTTTCATTAATTACCAAAAATTCCTTTTGTTAGTATTTTCGGATACATAATATAGCAGTGTGGATACTTAATATAGCAGTGCGGATACTTTAATTAATAACAGGCGGATACTTAAATTATTAAGTTGTTAGCAGCACGGATACTTAAATAACGGGCGGATGCATAATATAACAGCGCGGATACTTTAATTAATAATGGGCGGATACTTAAATTACTAAGCTGTTAGCAGCACAAATACTTAATTAACGGGCGGATGCATAATATAGCAGCGCTGATACTTTAATTAATAACGGGCGGATACTTAAACTAATAAAGTATCCGGTTAAGTTGAATTGGGGGAAAATAAGGGATTTTTGTATTTTAGTAAAAGAGTAGGAAAATACTGAAAATAGGTAAAAAAGTGTTGTCTATTTAAGTAATTTTTCCAAAAAAAAATCAAATATGATTTTACTTATCTCTGTGATAAGCTAGAACTTTAAAATGTTGATTGAATAGGAACCTTCAAAAAGATTGAAAAATTAACTTTAATACAAAAGTCTTTCATTAAATATTATTGTTCGATATGCTAAATTTATAAGATTAAATGGTATACAATCAAATTGAATACAAAACAAAATATTTATAAAGTAGACGATTAACTTTCTATATTAAATCTATAATAATGTAAGTGTTACTTTCGATCTGAATACAAATTAAAATAGGGAAAACTATCTTATTAGACATACATCACTATCATATATATTAACTTTACCTCTGTTATGAACCAAGTCCAACCCAATATGGATACCAAGGTCACACAAGTAGTTATTAGGCTGACAAGAGCTATTGAGCCGAGAGCAAGCAACAAGTCCAGGCTAATTTGGGATCCGGGTCGAATAGTGGGCGTGAAAATGATTCCATTAAATGGGGTAGTGGTCAGTGATTTAGGGATTATGCAAATTGTTGAGAAAAATGTCTAGTCCTCTCATCCTCCTTTCTTTGAGTCTATGTTTCTCATCTCCTTCTAGTTATCTTCTACAATAGTTTTCTTTATTGGTTTCATTTTCCGCTGTAACTTCGAGTTTAGTGATTATAATATTTAAATGTTTTTATTGTGAAATTGGAGTTGTTACAACCTCTACTTTCAAACAATCACATATATTACCACTTTTAATATTTTATACCATATATTATTGAAGATATAATCAGATACCATTTTACTATACATATACTCAAAATATATGTATAGAAGTTGGGAAAATTTGATTCCAGGAATGAGGGGGCATGCCTGCAAATAGACACAGAGCTGCACCTTCATGATAATAAGCCTTTGTCCAATCTTATCCAAGTTTTTTTTCTTTTTGCAGGCTTTGGCATCAATTAAAGCACGTTCACCGTGCTCCAGGTAGATCTAACAAAGACTTCTATTGAAAAACAAAGTGTCATCAGTTGGATCAGAATTTGGGACGTTTTTGTCATGTAATCTGGTCATATTTCAACGAGATCGTTGTATATCACACTTCTATAATATTACGATAATCACAAATTTATTGTTGGCGCAATTAGCATAACAAAGACCCACCAAAGTCAAAACGCACAATTCAAATTCCATACTTCAGATTAATATCAAATAATTGGATACATACTGCATATACATAACAAGTTTCAAAAACATGTATCTATTATATGTTACAAATAGCCGATACATAATTAACACATCTAAGTCACGAAGTATGTATCAAATACAAGTATATAATAGATCAAATACATCCAATGAAGTTAGGTGCATGCATCAGATACATACTTTAGATATATTAGTTAAAGGTACGTATCCTTATCCATATAATTAATGATTTTGATTTATGTAAGATTTCCAAATGAAGGTTTGTATCTAGTTCAAAAACAACAATATACTACTATCATAATATTCAACAAAGTAACAATCAACTAGAGTGCGAGATACACATTGTTCTCTAAACATGAAAAATTGAAAGAATTTTTTTTTGAAATTTTGGAGAAAAAATAAATGGAAGAAATTTGATTTTTTAAAAAAGTCATTAGAATAGGTATGCTCAAAAGTTGTTAAAGGAGTGATTTCCTTCTTAAATTAAGCATTTTAGTTACAATTCTTAATTAAATATGTATCCTGCTTTATTATTTCCTCGGATACATGTATCTGTCGAGTTAAGATATATGTATCCAACCAATGAAATATGGCACAAAAAGTAATATTTGAAACTATCGTGAAACTAGTAATTAGGACCTAAACTAGTGGAATTTATGTCCTTGCGCCACACTACCTTGAGACTATGCAGGTCTAGCTCTGAAGTTCTGCGAGTTATGGCCATTATAGTCACATTTGTTTCAGGGTGCAGATGCACTAG